TCGGCCTCCCAGACTGTCGCCCAGGGCTCAACCAACCGAGGCCCTGGGCTCAACTGCCTTTGCAGGAGTCTGAGGCTCACGATGCACTCCAACCATCTGGCGTGCGGCAACTGTCTGATACCCAGTTTGTGAAATGCTGAATGAAGGTCTCTCGTGGATATTCTGGCCCACCTTCACTTAAGGCGGGCACGAGGCTTGCTGGGGGCCTATGCCCAGAACATATGCATGTCGGCAAGGCCCCGTTGAGGGCTCAATCCTCACAGGTTGGTTAAAAAAAAAAAAAAAAAAAACAGAAAAAAGTTTAAAAACTCTATCATATTTTCCTAAGACGTGCTCAACTTATCTGCGTGAGACTGCCTCTTTTTTTCTTCTTTTCTTCTTTTCTTTTTTCAATTTGGACCATTTCTCAATTTATGTGTGCCATCCTTGCGCAGGGGCCATGCTAATCTTCTCTGTATCATTCCAATTTTAACAGATGTCAAGAATCCAAGTAACAATGGCTTTCTTTGCTGTCAGGTCCTCAATGGCATTTTGGCTGTGAAGATGTTCGCGTGGGAGGAGCCGTTCAGGAGGACTATTCATGGGATCCGCAGAGAAGAGAAGAGAATGTAACTCAACGCTGTCCTGAGGAGTGCTAACATCTTCCTCATTTGCACCTGGCATTTGCTTGTTTACATGGCAGAAGTGTAAAAGCCCTTCCATGGCTGATTCTGCATGTGTTGGCGACCCGTTTGTGAGTGTGCAGATTCTATGAGCTTGTAGTACTAAGCTACTGTCTTCACCCGAATACAACGTACAGTCATTATAGCTGTATTTGGGGCAACTTCGAGTCTAGATACAGCACTAATGACAGTACGTTGTATTCGGGTGAAGACGGTAGGGCTTAGGAAGTCATGAAATGCAGCTTGAATAAGCTTTCCACAACCACGCCAAACGTCAACAATTGATATACATCCATCAAATGAAACCATCCACACAACATTCACCTCACTACAATCAAAACCGACAGCAGACATTCACTTGGACTGGCATCATACACTGGAACCAGCACAGCCCTATCGAGAATGGAGAACACAATCATTTAAAAAAGACAACAGCAGCTATGCCGACTAACCACGAACAACCATATCCAACCCCAATTCTTGTGGAATTGAAGACGCCCGGTGATGCAAAGTAATAATCTCAACATCCATCCACGAGACATATAAACACAATAGGATTTGTGTGTGTGTGTGTGTGTGCTGTCTCTTATACACATCTAGATGTGTATAAGAGACAGGTACCAGGTGGGCCAGCTAGGCTGCTACCGAATGGCCAGTTTTGGCAAAGTAGACTTGGGGGCAGTGGTGGCTTAAAAGGGGGTGGAGTTCCGGTCGACTGTTTGCGTCAGATCTGATTACTATATTTTATTTTTGCCCCTCCTTGTTGCTTTTGATGTATCCATATGCCTTTCGTGTTGGTGACTTGCATCATCTTGCTTGTTGAAACGATGTAGGGAGTGCAGTCAAAGCACATAGCCCACAGGCGAGGTTATGAGAGAAAGGAAAAACGAGAGAAAATGCATAGGCATAGCAGAGAGAAAGATAGGTAGGTGGGACCATGCTAATCTTCTCTGTATCGTTCCAATTTTATGATGCCCCGAAGGACGTTGAAACATTAGTTCTTTGATCACTAACTGTTTGCTTTTTGCATGTTTATGTTGAATGCCACAATGAGCAGAATATGGAATGCTTCAATGATCCGAGGCTTCAACGAGGCAACATATTTCTGTCATGCGGTACTTGCAGCCATGGTCACTTTTTTGGCGAGCCATGCTTCTGGACACCAGTTGAGAACCAGCGCAGTTTTCTATGTTCTGACCTTACTACAGGTGAGTGCTCATTCATAAGCCTCCGACACCCACAGCTTCACTTTTGATTGCTCCTTTTTCCATTCTTTATCAGCCTTTTTGTCAAGTCACTTTTCAAGCAAGTGGTCATCCCAAATCCCAAACCACCATAGCTGCCTCTTATGTGACATCCTGAACATCAGCCCTCATGTGTGTCAAACTTTGTTTGCATGTTTTCTTGCTACTGATAAGCACTTATCTCTAAGCCTCAACCCAACCACAGCTGCACTGTTTACACAGTTCCGCTGCCACCTACACCTCCAAGCAGGTTAGGTGGCACGTGTGCCTGATCCCCCTCCCTCTCCCACTGTACATCACCCAACGCATACTGGGTGTTACGTTGGGAGATTATGTGCTTATCCTCCCTTCCTCTTCTCTTACTCCGTCCTCCTCCTCCTCTCTCTCTCTCTCTCTCTCTCTCCCTCTCTCTCTCTCTCTCTCTCTCTCTCTCTCTCTCTCTCTCTCTCTCTCTCTCTCTCTCTCTCTCTCT